CCCAAAAGAGGGGCGCCTGGGTGGCTCAGTTGGTTAAGCGACTGCCTTTGGCTCAGGTCATGATCCTGGAGCCCCCGGATTGAGTCCCACATCAGGCTCCCTGCTCGGCAGGGAGTCTGCTTCTCCCTCTGACCCTCCCCCCTCTCATATGCTCTCTCTCTCATAAATAAATAAAATCTTTAAAAAAAAAAAAAAAAGAAACCCCAAAAGAACTGACCAAGAAATTCCTAGAACTAATAAGCAATTGCAGCAAGGTTGAAGGATACATGGCTAATACACAAAACTCTATCAATTCTCTCTATACCAGCAATCAACAAGTGGTATTTGAGATTAAAAACACAGTATCATTTACGTTAACACCCCCAAAAATGAAATATTTAGCTATAAATCTAATAAAATATGTACAAGATCTATATGAAGAAAACTATAAAACTCTGAACAAAATGAACAAAATCAAGGGAGAACTAAATAAATGGAGAAATATTCCATGTTTGTGGGGAGGGAGACTCAATATTGTCAAAATGTCAGCTCTTCCCAAATTAGTCTATAGATTCAATAAAATCCCAATCAAATTATTTTGTGGGTATTGACAAACCGATTCTAAAGTTTATATGGAGAAGTGAAAGACCCAGAATAGTCAACAAAATAATGAAGATGAACCAAGTTGGAGCAATGATGCTACCTAATTTCAAGACTTACTATAAAACTACAATGATCAAGATAATATGGTGTTGGTAAAAGAACAGACAAATAGATCAATGGAACAGAAAAGAGATCCCAGAAATAGACCCACATAAATATAGCCAACTGATCTTTAACATGGAGGGAGGGCAAGACAATGGAGCGATGATAGTCTCTTCAGCAAATGGTGCTGGAATATTTGGGCATCCACATGCAAAATGATGAGTCTAGGCACAGACTTTACACCCTTCACAAAAATCAACTCAAACTGGATTTCACAGAGTTAAGTGTAAAACACACAATGAGAAAACTTTAAAAGATAACATAGGTGAAGGGTGCCTGGCTGGCTCAGTTGGTGGAGCATGTGACTCTTGATCTCAGGGTTATGAGTTCAGGCCCCATATTGGGAGTAGAGATTACTAACAAAATAAAATAAAATAAAATCTTTTAACAAATAAATAGATAACATAGGAGAAAAGTAGATGACCTTGGGTACCGTGATGACTTTTTAGATACAATATCAAAACCATGATTGATGAAAGAAATAATTGACAAGCTGGACTTGATTAAAATTTAAAACTTCTGCTCTGTGACACACATTGTCAAGAGAATAAGACAAGCCACAGACTGGAACAAAATATTTGCAAAAGAATATATCTGAAAATATAAAATACCCAAAATAGTCAAAGAACTCTGAAAGCCCAATAGTAAGAAATAAAAGAACGGGATGAAAAACTGGGCCAAATTCCTTAATAGACACCTCACTAAGGAAGATCTGCAGATGGCAAAAAAGCACATGCAAAGATCCTTCACATTATATGTCCTCAAAGAAATACGCAAATTAAAACAACAGTGAGATGCTCTACATGCCTATTAGAATGTCCAAAATCCAGAACGCTGACAGCAGCAAATGCTGGTTCTGAGCTATAGTTCTTTACTAATTAGGAGGCTTGCTTTCAGCCTAGGGGTCAGACAGAGGTGAAAACTTAAGATCTCTTTGTTCTTTTCTGAACATGCATCTTGGTTGGGCCTCATGTTGCTTTTTCAGCTGCTTTTAAATGTCCTGATTTCTCCATGAGTCTTACCCCAAGCCTCTCCTGGGGGCCTCAGATGATCTCTCTTTATCCTTCATTTCTTGCCCCAGGTATCAGTGGGACTGTAGTCTACCTCCAATTTTCATGAGCAATGCCTGCTGCTTCTCCCTACTTGAGATCTGAGTGAGGCAAGACAGAGCCCAGCACTTCTGGCAGCCCCCCAACCAGGCTAGAACTTTACAAATAAAGGCTGCTCTGTTCTTTTCCTGATGGAGAGACGTAATTGGGAACTCCACTGCCTCCTCTCCAGACAAGACATGCTCTGGGGAAAGGGATGCCACAAAACTTCCCACAATTTCAAGTGCGGTTTTTACTTTGAGTGTTTGGTTGCTGTAGATCTTTTTATCGTTTCCCAGAGCTTTTCTAAGCTTATTTTGGCTAGTTTCTAGAAGGCTTTTTGTTGTTGTTGTTTTGTTTTATTTTGTTTTGTTTTGTTGATGCTTCCAAAGAGGATTGAGGGCTTGGAGTTTTTACTCTGTCATTTTGCTGCCCTCCTTCTACTTTGCCTGGAAATCACAGACCACTCAATATGGTGATCATAGAAAAGGAAATTATTTTTTAAAAAAGAAGCAAAATTGTCATTCATGTGTTATATATATATATATATTTAAAGATTTTATTTATTTATTTGAGAGAGAGACAGAGATAGCAACAGAGAGAGCCAGAGAACATGAGGGGGGAAGAGGGGCAGAGGGAGAAGCTGGCTCCCTACAGAGCCAGGACCCTGGGGCAAAGGCAGATGCTTAAACGACTGCCACCTAGGCACCCCTCATGTGTCATATAAAAAGTCCAAAACAACAAATTCATTATTGTAATTTATAAGAGACTTTAGGCAGTCAGCTGTATACGAAACCAGTACTTTACAAATAAAATTTTTAAAAAGATACCATTTACAATAGCTTTAAAATATGAAATATCTAAAATTAAACTAAAAAATATGCAATAATGCTATGGAGAAAATATGTGAAGAGTTATTAGACCGAAGTAAACAGATACAATTTTAGCTAGGGCACCATGGAGTTACTCAGATCAGACGGTTGAAAGCTATCTGCAGAGGGAAAATGGGGGAGGGACAAAAGCAGGGAAAGAATGTGTTTTGCAGAACAAGCAGCTCCCACCAAGGAGACATACGGCCAGGTGTTCCAACGGATACACCCTTGCATGAGCCAGTTTGGAGCTGAGGACCTGTGCAGAAACCCTGAGTTGCCCTTAAGTTTCCTTTAGCTCATTATAATACTGAGATCTCCTATGGGCAGAGTTTTGGGCCATTTTTTTTAAACATGCAATGTATGCACTAGCATGTTGACAAGCTACTGACAAGCTAGGTATTTGCAGCTGAACCAAAGTGCCTAACAAAGTATGTGTAAGTTCCCTAATGTAGCCAACTCCCTGCCCCCAACACCCTGAATAAAAGCTTCCTGCACTAACCCCATGGGGAGACACTGCTTTGACAGTGTAATTACTTGCTGCAAGTAATAAAATCTTTTTGCTCCGACCGAGAGACTTGGGCTGGTTAATTGCCTGACGCACCGCCAAGGGGCAGACCCTTTGTGTACGGCGACAATACCATGGTAATGGATTATGAGAATCAGTATTGTGAAGCTATCAATTTTCCCAAGGTAATTTGTAGATTCAATGAATCCAATCAAAGTCTCAGCATTTTTATTCACAAGTTGGCATAATGATGATTCTTCATGCGACTTAATAGCCAAAATACTTGAACAAAAATTCATGGATACCTACTCTATCTTAGCAAGACTTCGTTTCCTGCTATATGAACACGGGGGTGGGGTATCCGTGACCCCATTCCTTGCTACAAACTGCCTCCTTATCTACCCTAAATACTTCTGAACCTGCTTTCACTTTTCCCCATAACTTACCTTCTAAATTCTCTATGATTATATTTTTGACTTATTGTCTGCTCTTTACCACCCCCGACCGAAAAAAAAAAAAAGTTACGGAGAGCAGCCAACTTTGTTTTGTTCACTGACATACTTCCAAACACTGCAATGGCGCTTGGAACGCAGCAGGTGCTCGATACACTTTGATTGAATCACTGAAGGGGAAGTAGGTTTGCTCTCGGCGGTTGTCTACTTGCCTTACCATCATCTATGCAGACGCACAGCTACAGGACACACCACCCTCAGCAAACCCCCATTTCGTTCCTGAGGAACCTGGAGCCACGCGCCGGCTAGCCCAAGCGGTGTGACAGCGTGCCCGTCCAGCGGGAGCTGGGCACTTCACAGGCGCGCCCGGCCCCGCCTCTCAGTCTAACCGCGGGGAACTACACTTCCCAGAATGCTTGGTGCTCGCGTGGACTACATTCCCCAGAGGCATTGCGGCCGTCCCCCCCGCCTCCCGTCCCGCCTCTCCGGACCTGCGCGGGACGCCGGTCGTTTGCTGCCGGAGCGGGAGGCTCAGGGACTTGAAGTCGGCCAAGGCATCGCCCGGGGAGGGGTCCCGACCCAGGCTGCTGTCCGCCCGGGCAGTGCCGGAGCCTCCGCCTGCGGAGCACGGCCGGGGAGGCGCAGCCCCCGGAACCCCGGGGCCTGGGCGAGGTGAGC